CTGCTTCTCAGCTAACATGAAAATGACTCTCATATTCCAAGGTTTCTCCGAAAGATCGCCCTCAAGAGGCTCTGATTGGTCAGCTAACATAATGTGCTGTGATTTGTGGATCGGCTCCATGTCACCAGGAAAAGCGTCAGGCCTCTAATAGCATGTTCTGTGCCTCTGCTGTGTTACTACTGTCAGTCAGAGTAGCTGTTAGGCGCATCAGTTGGACCCTGAATCAGACAGAAAATGAAGAGCACACAGCTAAACCTCACGTCTGTTATCTAAAATAAAACCTGACAAGTGTCTTCAGAATAAGCGTGTGTAAGTACTATGAAACATTCACATATCTTTTGCGAGTTTGTTATTTGAGATGTAGAATGCAGGGAATGCGGCCGCATAGAGACACTGCAGCGCTGATGAAGATTGTGACTGTTTACAGCAGTTTGACTTAAATTGAAATTGTAGCTAGTGCCAAACAGCATTTCCTGTTGTTTACATCCTTGTTTTTATCCCCGCTACAGCATACTTTTAAGGTAACCATAGGAATTGTGCATGTAATAGATCAACAGCCGCGTTTCCACTATTGCGCCTAGAGCGATCGAACCAGTGCGAGCCAAGGCCAATCGCGTTTCCACTATCACTTCCGGGGCCTAATTGGGCCACAGCAGGGCTTTCTCGGGGCTAGCAGCCGGCATTTTTTCGGCCCGAAAACCTTGGGCCAAAGAGGGCCAGCTGGGGCTTCGGGGCAAAATGAAAGGAGAGGCGGACACTAGTTTTCTGATCGCACACCAGTACATGCGCGAAACAAAAAAAATAAATAAGGGAAAGAAAACATCTAGCCTTATAGGCTGGGGTATTTTTGCATATGATCGCCCTTATGTTTCCCTTTTAAATGTAAGGCTGTTGCATAAAATAATAAAGTTTTAATTTATAAGTGACATTCTTTGCTGTGTCCTCCTTGATGTTTCAATAACGCATAACAATCTTTACACCATATTAAAGACACAGCAGACAGTAAAGGTTTTCAAGAGTTTTTGGCAAGTTTAAAAGGTGTGTTTGTGTGTGTTTAGATGCCTGTATGTGAATGTGAGACCAAGCAAAAGAGTGCTCCCTTCACAGCTCTGTTGATTCAGCGAGCCGCTTTTTTAAAAATGTATTTGTTTTGGAGATAATACACAATATAAATACAACAAAAAGACAAAAAACAAATGATGTGTCCACTTTTGCAGACTCAAAACAAGAGTGTCATATCTTAATAAAATAATATGCTATATTGAAATCATTTAAAGAATTACAAATATCGGATATAATAAAACTGCATTAAATAAATAAACCAATATAAAATAAACAAAAGCTAGCTATCACAATTTAGGTATATGCAATACATAAATCAAACCATTTTAAAGCCATATTAAACTTTAATTTTACAAGGGCCTCTTTGAGAAAAAGATTTTAGATATTTTCTTAAAACAGTAAACCACGAAGAAGGTTTGAACTATTAATAAAGTATTTGGATACAATGATATTAATCAATTCGTAAGAACAGAGCTTTTTTTGGGTGGGTGAAAGCAGAAACTAGGCTACCTTTTTTCTGGCTTCCAGTTCTGCACGGCGCCTCTTTACAAACTCATCGGAAAAAACTGTAAATACAAAATGTGTTCTGTGTCCTTAAACAAGTGTTTGGTTTTATATGATGTGGTAAAATTTGAAAATTAAATTTTAAATACATGTAGATCTTTATTAGTTGATAGCTGCTGAGCGCTATATTTTATTACTTGCTCTTATGTGCTGGAATACTTAACACTTTCCTTTACTTAAGATCACAGAATAATATGCAACGTATAGCCTATAGGAAAAAATGAATCTGTTTCAGGTCTCTCCGGAGCATGAGTATGCTATAAAATACATTTTCTACCGAGTTATTAACAGAGAATTTCTGTCGTTTTTTTATTATGTATGGGTGCGCTCACTGCGCTCGGCCCCCTTCGTTAGTGGCGAGACCACTCGATATTTGATGCCAACAGGCTGTCGGCAAGTAAATGAATATGATGAATGAGAACACATAGGCATGTGCGTATAGACATACAATGTAATGCTGTACAGTAACGTGTCATTTGTTTGTTTCGGTTGTCTTAATTTTACTTTCATGATGATGTGAAAATGTGCTTTACCTGTCTGATTCCTGCTGTAGTGGGCGGGTTGTGTGACGTTTGATTCGGGGGACATTCTGAGGGCGGAGTTTGCAAGACGCGCTGCGAGCTACTAAACCGACAGTGGCAACGAGACATGATTTCAGCCTCATTGCTCAACCTTCTGGGTTGACCCAACATTTAAAAAGCAGCTATTTTGAACAAATAACAATAGTAACAGGTTGTGGCTCACAATCCGCAGCTTCGTCTATTATGGTTGGAAGATTTTTTAGCTGAATCCAGTGCTGAACTGAGAGGGCTCTCCTTTGTCAAATGCTAGCTATTTAGTTTTATAATTCTCTGGAACATAATTAAAATTAAACTGTAAGCACTTCTCTCTTTATGCGTCCTTGGAACACCGAAACACAGAAACAGAACAAGCTCTGTAAAAATAGCGTTTGGATGGCATTTTAGCGGTCTCTGCTATAACATTACAGCACCTCTGGACCACTCCTTTAACATCATGGCTTTCGCCCTTGAAATTAAAGGTGCTATTTAATTAAAATTAGTTCTTCTTAATTTAATAATTAGTTAAATTATGCATCTGTGCTCTTCATTATTTTGATAAACATAAAATTTGCCATCATAATTCAATCAAATACCATAACCTTCTTTGCCATTTGAAAATGACTTCATTTCTGGTCACATAGGATGCCTTTAGGGCGGGGCTATCAGATTGTCTCTCGTTTCTGTCATGCATTCATCCATTTCTCAATCTTCCTTCCTTTTGTAAGCAACACCATTTATCCAACAATCCAATCAGTACCCAAAAAACAAGATCATGACCCACCTTCCTTATTTCAGGACTGTTTAAATTTACTGTACATCACAATATTTTAAAAAAGGACAATCTTAACTTCTGTTTCATGGTGACCTCAGATCAGAAGAAAATAAGATCCTCTTTGATAAACCTAAACAACGTATCCCTCAATATGCGTGCACAGCAAAACAAACACATTCAATAAAGACTCTGCAAACACCACATTTTAGTTATGCTCTTTAATTAGTCCTGGAAAACATGTAAGGCAAAATGGTCACATCACACACAGAAGCGTTATGAACTCTACGGTCCTCATGACCACACGCAGTCCAACCAACCCAGAGTCAAGCACAGAAACAGCAGCACTTCAGATTCTCGAAATTAAATGGAGAACAATCTGATGGAGGGTTTTTCCAGAAACAAACAACATCAACACAAACAACCCGTGGTGCTTCTCTGACGTGTGTGGAGGGGGGAGGAGCCTTAATGCTGATGAACAGGGGTGGGGCTTGAATTTACAACCAATCAGGTATGTAAACTGGTGCCTCTGATTGGCTCTTTAGTCAAAAAGCCGATACTTCGCAACTTGCGATGTTTCCGAAATGTCACCATGCATCTTCGTTCTCGCAAGTATGCATTTGAAAGTGCATCAAAAGTGATGTGCGCAGCTTACGTTTGCGAGACAAAGTTACGATGAAAATGTGGGAAACAGTCCACATCGACTTGTTGCTTAGTGTGTGTGCCAGAAAAAGACAAGGCAAACACATCTGCTGTATAAATGTTGATTTAAAAGTTTCATTTCATTAGCATAAACTAATCAGTTAATTTCATTGTAGGCACAACAAACTGCACTACGTTTGTGTATCTAACATAGTAAATGAAGTCTAGGCGTGATGCGATTAAGCGCTGGTTAAGGCTGCTTTTGTGGCAGGAATTCTGCACTCTGAGGGGCGTTTCCTGTTCTGGGAAAGCTATTGGATTGAGAGACTGAGGAAGGAAGCAGCTAGGCTCGATCTGAGCCTCTCTCTGGCTCCCAGTCGCACAATTCCATATCCACGAGAGACACACACACCTGCAGCTGAGCTCATTGTGGAGCCGTGCATGCTCCAAATAAAAAAGGAAGAGGAAGAATACTCCAAACCATCATCCCATAATAATGTTGAAATCTTGAGAGATTTAAAAGAGAGCGTTCCCAGCCCAGATGTAGTTGTTGTTGGGCGTGTGTGCTCTAAATTGACCCAGCAGCATATAGCGTTAGCCAACTCAGACAGAACTAGGGACAAAACCGAATTAACAGCTGCTCTGATGTCATGAGCAGCCGAGATGAGTTCCAGAACCGCAACGTCGCAGCTGGATCATCTGTAAACGAAGACACAGCAGGGTTTCACTTGTGAACAGGGCTCTAGGACTAGTACTCAACATTAAAAGGATAGTTCCAACAAAAATGAAGACTCTGTGATTATTTATTCACCCCCATATTTCGTTTCAAACCTGTGTGAATTAATCAAGTAATCATTAAATTAAGTCAATTGCAGAATATTCATTCTGGCATGAACCATCCTTTTAAGACCATGATGAATTACTGTACATTCGCTGAGCAACAAAAATAGCCAGCAAATGCTTGCAGCTTAAATACTACACCCAACATTAGTTTGTTCTGACTGCTGCTGGATCTTTTTGTCGGGTTACCACCGGTCATATGTTTGCAAACGTGCTCAATTACCTACAAACGCTCACATGACACACAAAAGTGCATCCGTAAACAACAGTACACCTGATCTGGGGGGGTTTCAGATCAGTGGGAATGAGAATTCAGCCCTTCAGGACAGCAGAGCTGAGACGGTATTGGGGATGAACTAATGTCTACGTGTGTGTGTGTGTATATATGCATTCGCTTGTAAACATGCGTGGAGGCAATCTGGTGTTGGTCTACGACTGAGGCACAGTGAGAACGAGAGGTTTTGCATGGATTCAAATGTTAGCGGAAAACAAAAAAACAAGTCGGAAATCAGTCAGCACCAATAACATTCAGGGCATAGTCGACCACACACGACAGGAGCGAATTCAGAATCTCAAGATCTTTTTACTGCAAGGTCATTTTGACAGTAACCACAGACGGTTAGGTTTTTTTTTTCTTCATCTTTCATTGAATTTTTTTTTTTCTCTCTTCAAAACAGTAAGCACAGTTATAGCGAAGGTCACGCCTTCACGAAAAAGTTTGGCACACTCGGTCAGGACCAACAAAATCACATGATTCATCACATTTTAGAGGAACTGCAGCAAAGCCTTTTGAACTCAAATCTACTGAAATGCAGACCACAAAAACAAACATACAGAACAAAACAGAACCAAAACACAAAGAGGACGGATATTTTTTCACTGAAGTGTTAGTTAGGGTTACTTGGTGCTCTGAGTCACCATCCACAGGAACACAGGAAGAGAACCAGCGGAACACAACAAGAAACTCAACCCCTCGGATCCGGAACTAAAAACCGAACCGGGATTTAGTATGTGACTCTTCAGACTAGAACAGTGGTTCCACTCCCGTCCTAGAGCATTCTAGGCCTGGACGGATTTCTGCACTCATATAGTGATTATGTAAACAGGAGCATGCATCAAACAATGCAGCCTTGTGAGCAACTCCATGCATGTTCAAACATTTTTAGAGACGCATAAAGAGTGAGTGTGTTGGTGGGAGAACGAGTATTGAAACGGAAGGTCTGAGTGAAAACCTGGATCAGGAACCAGCTTTACTGGAGGATCAGGAGTGGAACCAGCATTCTCTATAAGTGCAAGCTGAGTGCAAACGATAGCAAACCAACGCAGGCCGTTGATGGGGGCCGGAATATTCAAGAGTTAGAAACTGACGGAGGAGAAGAAGAGAAGACGGTTAAAATGCCAGACGGTAGCATAAAGGTAGCATGAGGGAGGTAGAGAGACAGAAAAGAAAGAACATTTGAATCTAAATCCGACAACAAACCTGAGGACAAACGGTCAAATACAGAAACTCACACACACACACACTCACTCACTCACTCAAACAGACTTACATATAAAAGAGGGGGTCTGGTTTTGATTCACAAAAACACTCAACGAAATGAACCAGACTCACGGTGTGAATAGAAAGAGAGTGGTCAGCAGGTGTCTTGAATGCTTGAATGATAGCACTGCAATGCATATAAATCACCAGTGGAGGCAGCAGATCACTGCTCTCTGACAGACAGGGGAGGAGCCAGAGGGTTTGACTGATGGGTCTAAGAGAGGGTGTAGAGGGAGTAGCCACATTCCTCAATGTGCTGAAATAAAACCACTGTAGTTTCATGAAAAAAGCAGCTGAGAGTGCTTGTATAGGTCCGCATGGGACTGTGAGGGGGTGAGACCTAGCTGTCATCCCGAAGTAGCCAAGCTGCTGTTGCTATGGCAACCTCTATGAGGAAAAATGATACGGACAGAGTGAGTTAGAGAGCCATTCAGACTTAAATGTGAGCTGCAGGTCAGCATGATCGCGTGGTAAACCATCACGGGGAATGAGAGGCGGAAAGCGTCAGGATCCCGAGGAATCCTGGAGGAGGCTCTGGAATGAAAGGCCACTCCTGTCTTTATGCATCCACATCTGATAGAAGGCAAAACGATGGGAAAAAGCCTGGAAGAATGTTCTCTATAATTGGTCCTGCTTGCCAAGCTAGACTCATTAAAACCCTGGCGCTTACCGTTTTAATGACATGGCACATTGATCAGCTGAAGCCTAAAACACCCTTGTTAGTAGCGTTGGCGGGCTGTTTGTGAATTTGGTGCACATGTGTGCGCATGAAAGAAGCTTGTTGTCCCTCTCAGCCAATCGGAAACCACCCTGACTCCTCCGTAGAGGGGCGGGGCTTGAGTGCATGTCAGTGAGTCTGGTCCAATGGGAGGGAAACAACACAAACAATGGGAGTGTAGGTGGGTGCTCTTGTTTTTTGTGCGCCAAGGTGGGCAGAAAAATATCACTTTTGATGACGTATGGCAAATTAAACAAGCGCACTCACTTCAGAGACAAAAAAATAATAATAGGGAATGGAAACCCAGTCTTCACAGCAGATACGCAAACACACGGAGGGGTGTAGAGAGCGAATGAGGTGCTTTTTGGTTCGCGTCTACAAAGATAACAAAGACTTCAGTGGAATACAATTACTTTTCTTGTTATAGTGCATTAGTTTGGCAGGAATAAGGTTAGAGGATATGAACTTAAAGTGTGCAGAATACGGTTACTTTGTTATATAATTCAAGAGTAAACACTGCGGTGATACTTATAAAAAGGATAATACTGCCCTAACACACCTCAGTGGCGTGCAGTCATACGAAAGAGTTAGAAAGGCCGCAGCAGAACTGGGAATAAATACTACCGGGTTACAACAGAACAAGAACAAGTGGTGTGTTCCCTTGGTGTATAATGTGTGTGTATGCATGTGTGTGAACGTAAGTGGAGTGTGAATTGTGTTGAGTGACAAATGCAGATCTAATGTCAGGAATCACCTGGGGTTAAGCTAATTACACTATACACCCCTCCATAAACACACACACAGAAACACACACGCACACATACACACACTCAGACGACTCCCAACCCGCTGACACAGACAAAAAGCAAATCCACAATGTTTCTCTCCACTCAGTTCTCCTCTTTCTTGACTTCTTCCTTCTTTTCTTCCGCTTTCTTGTCGTCCTTCTTGGCCTCTTCCTTCTTCTTCTCATCCTTTTTTTCCTCCTTCTTGGCCTCGTCCTTCTTCTTGTCTTCCTTCTTCTTGTCGTCCTTTTTCTTGTCGTCCTTCTTCTTGTCGTCTTTCTTCTCCTCGTCTTTCTTGGCCTCCTCTTTCTTCTCCTCTTCTTTCATGGGCTCGGTGGTGAGGATGATTTTGCCGATGTTGTTCCTCTCCTGCATCCTACGCATGGCATCACCAACCTGAGATAGAAAGAGAGAGAGAGAGATTGAGAGAGGGATTGGTTGAGGGTGTGGATGAGGAACGGCAGAGAGAGCAGCTTGACTGGCCATCTGCTGCGGTAAGAATATCTAACAAGCTGTTGACAGTTGATCTAATACTGAACTTTACGCATGCATGAACGCCATTTATGAGATTGCATGTGTCTGCGATGTAGTAGACCTATACCACAAGCCATTAGATTTAATGTCAATATTTTCAAGTATTGGTATTTTAAAATAGTATTTTATTAGATTAAAAAAAACATGCGTCCCGGAAAATTTGATACGTGTACTATGGCTATATCAGAAATCAGCCCTTATTTCATCATTACCTATGTTTCCATCCAAAAATGCAAATTAAATTTATGCACAAAACTGGAATACGGCATAAAAGACGTGCAAATAAAGCAGTGTTTCCAACCAATGAGTCAAAGCAAACAAAATCATCACTACCTGATTAACTGGTGCCAAATATCAACTGTACAAATAAAATTTGCTGCGGTAGGAGAAGCCGTGTGAATCTTTTCTTTATTTAGTAAATTATTTGCGCCTCAGAAGACAAATGCAGATGAGCAGGTGGTGGCGTTTGAAGGCTTGAGACGCAGCGCACAGATGCTCTTGACTATTCTGGAGGTCATTAATAATATAATAACACTAATACTGAAACGGTTATGGAATTTTAGAATGGCCAAAACATTTAAAATGTTTTACAATGTGCTCAGCCTGCTGGTTTGTCCATTCACACATATATTTATCATCACATGATCTGTTATAACAAAATCAATTGACATTTTTTAATGCCCATACTGGAATTTGTTCAGTAAAAGTGTTTCATCATAGTTGATGTGCATATTTTCTTATCGAATAAAACATTTATCCTACTCAGTTATGCCCAAATGCAAGTGGGGCTCTAGCGTCAAAGCTTGACGAAGGGCGTGTCTGAAGTTAGGGCTGACGTGATAGTCATAGCCAATGAAATAAGTCCGCAATCAGCTACTGTCTGAGCTGGGGTATTTGCATAAAGAGATCTGATTGATTAAAGCTTCCATTGGCGCTTGAAAAGTTGAGAAATCCCAACTTCTGCAGCGAGCAATGCCACTGAAACAGCGCCGACACACCTACAATTCAGATCGGCAATGCTTGACATCAACCATTCAAAGTGAATGGGAATCGTTGACGCTGACGTCCCATGTGAATGTGGCGTTATAGGTATACGTTTTTTTATGCGCATCCAAAATACGCATACATTTAGGTGGAAAGAATCATAGCTATTAACTGTGCCCCCATTAGTCTACTAATATACTTCACTTAGGGAATTTGTATAAACTAATTTCGAGAAGAGCAAGTGATATGATTGAGCACAGCTGGTCTTTCATTTGTAATCAGTAATAATCCAATCGAATTGACCCAAATCTACAATAAATAGACCGATTTTACCCTACTGTCTTATCTTCGTTTTTTAAAAAAAAATCCTCCTTCCACCCCAGCTCCTTCCTTATTTTAGGGGAGCTCTTGAGACCTACCTGATCTCAGACCCCCTTTAAATGCTTATTGACCAGGTGGGAGCCTGGAGCTCAGGGTTCTTTCCTGGGACAGCATGTCAAACCTGCTATTAAAGCCAAGCATATCTAAGTGTGAACTCTTGAAAATCAGTGAATGAAAATGAGTGAGTGAATTTTTGTTTGTGCTCTAAAATCGATTGAATTAGATTTTCAACTTCTTGGTCAAACCATATGATGGTTATTTCACACTTAGCGAGCGGTCTATTAGTGCTGAAAAGTGCTTGAGTTTTCTCATGTATACACTCACAGTGCATTACAGGAATTCTCTAGCCGGTGGGCGCTTATGGGTTGTACTCTTGTTATTGTGGTGCATTGTGTGTTTAAGTGCAATTCAGAACGTCCAACATGGTATCGCATATCACAATAGTGCACTAGTTAAGGGTACAGGGGGGCGATTTCAGATACAGCCCACATGTCCTTGCTCTTAAATGAACGGACATTAAAATTCACAATAATCCAATTACTTGAACTTAAACTGTGCTTACTGGCGATATTAAATACAGAACAAAATTAAGGGGTGACACGGTGGGTAGTGATGTTGCCTCAGCAGAAAGGTCGCTGGTTCGGGCCCCGGCTGGGTCAGTTGGCATTTCTGTGTGGAGTTTGCAAGTTCTCCCCGTGTTGGTGTGGGTTTCCTCCGCATGCTCCGACTTCCCCCACAGTACAAAGACATGCACTACAGGTGATTTGGGTAAACAAAATTGGCCTTAGTGTATGAGTGTGTGTTCCACTGTGGAGACCCCTGATTAATAAAGGAATTAATCCGAAAAGAAATAGAATGAACGAAAAAACAAACAAAATTGATAAGAACCATGGATAGATGGATGGATAGATAGATAGACAGACAGACAGACAGACAGACAGACAGACAGACAGACAGACAGACAGACAGACAGACAGACAGATATACAGATGGATATAAAGATATATAGATTTCCTTCTCCAAGTATTCACTGCATCTCATCTAGTCTCTGTTCGGTTCACCTGTCTACATCTCTATTTACCCCCCAGTTCACTTCTCCTTTACCACTCTACCTAACAACCAGTACCACGGCAACAGTGAGTCATCTCCTAGCAACGGGAAAAAGCAACCTGGCCCTGACGATTGACTCGTGGACACACTGAGGGAAGAGAATGAGACCGGAAACCAGAGAATAAACACACGCTTCTCTCCCCCCTTCAGCTCAAATCTCAAAGAATGGCTTCACCACTTCACAATTCCTCACATGAATCTTCAATAACACCCAAGTTTGATGAGGCTGATAAAAGGCGGGATCGTCATAAAAACATCAGCTCGCACTCGCAGTCACTTACTGTATGCAGGAAGAGACGTCTCCATAGCAACAGCAGAGATAAGAACGCAGAAGAAATAATAGGGAAAGATGGATGAAAGAACGAGAGAGGGACAAAGCAAAGGAGCCTGATCAAAGGGTGGAGAGGAGCACAAGACGTGGATGGTGCTTTAGGTGATGATCGTGGAAGTTCAAACATAAAGATTTATCAGCTCATGGTGGCATCTGTCTGATTTCCACATCTTAAAGTAAATACACTCACAATTACACTTATCAGCCCTCTCTGGACACCTTGGTAATTGGTTATTCACCAAACAAACATATGAAGAGAGACTTCTATTCTTCCCCAAATACACCACTACTAGACATAATTTTTTGATAACTTGAAACCTTCATTAATTCATTTTTTTATTATTTAAATGACTCAGAAAAACTTTACCATGTACTCAGAGAGGATGAAGTGACATCTAAAATATTTATATATGCACCATCCACACGATAAGAAATGGTTAATCTTAACTCATGTCTTATTTAAATCTACATTTTTATTTTTGTAATTGTTATGAGAGATATTTTATGTTTTTATTCATTTTTTACGCTTTGTCATTTTTTTTTTATTCACAGAATAAACTATTAACTTGATGTTAGTGTATTTTGGCCTGTTAACACTGAGTGGTAGGGTGCGGGTCTGTACAGGTCACCTTTATCAGACTTGCGTTTCCACTGCTAAAAGGGTACCAATGGTACTTTTTTGGTGGGCATGGTGTATGACAAAGGTTCAGTCTACGTCATTCTCGCTCGAGGAAATGTCATATAAAAGGTTTACAAGTCGTTCACACATCTTATGAGAAGCACTTCTGACAAAACAGATGCTACTGTAATGTCTGAAATTCTATAGAATAAATAAATAAATGCAACGTATATGAACACATACAGCCCCTTAGGCTACATTCACACTGCGAGGCTTAGTGCTCAAATCTGATTCTTTCTCAGATCAGATTTTTTTGCATGGCTGTTCACACTGCTCTTATAAATGTGGCCAATATCAGATTTGCAGTCTGAACAGATCCTGTTCCTAAACTGACCCGCATGCAAAAAAGTGCATTACAGAGAGCACAAAATGTCTAATTATGCACACAATGTGTATACTGTATAAAGTAAACATGTTGTCAGATCATGCTTATATGATTATTACCCTTTTCACAGACAACCGTGGTGTATTTCATGAACTGTAAATAGTAGTAGCAGAACAATCAATGTGTATTTTAGCATTTGAGACCTAAAATAAGTCCCTTGTGATTGAAAACACTGATCATTTGTGATTTATGACAACAGCGGTGCGTGGCGCTCTAACCAGTAGTGTAAGTGAACTCATCAAGGGTTAATGAGCTGTGTATTTCAAAATAGTGGTTCCTTGAGCGAGTGACGCATCTCTGTAAACCAATGGTGTTCAGTTGCACGCCTTACTCCACCTTTTGGTATCCTTTTGTTGTGCAAAACAGTTTTTGTTTGTGGAAACAGGCCATAGATATTTTACACATATTTAAAATGCTTTTGGCAAAGAGCCATAATGCTAATAAAGTACCATTACTACTAATAATCTGTAAGGCTTCTGAATATTAATTGAAATGTCTACATTCGCTTGAACTGATGTGTTGAAATCAAAATATGAATGGCAATACATAAGTTAGTCCAACACAATACCAATGAAAGATGCATCAAAGACAGTAGTTCTTTCAATTCTTAATGTAAGTGAGATTTTCTCAAATGAAATCTAAAAATATGCTAAAAATCTAAAACAAATTGCTTAAAATACATATTTAGTTGCCCCATTGTAAAATTTGGTTGCAAATGCATGTAGAGCATAGGTCTCAACTTCCTGGACGGCCGCAGCTCTGCACAGTTTTGTTCCAACCCTGATCAAACACAGCTGATACAACTAATGACTGTGTTCATGACTCTTTTGAACACCTCGATTATTTGGATCAGCTGTGTTTCGTTAGTGTTGGAAAAACTGTGCAGAGCGGCGGCCCTCCAGGAATTGACTTTGAGACCTATGGTATAGAGGGTTGAAAATATTTATTTAGTTAGAAAAATTCCATCAAGGACAGATTCATTCACCTGCTCTAGGTGGTAGGTGGAGTCGATTCGGGGCTTGACCTTGCCCTGCCTGTACAGGTCCATAACTGCCGTCATGGCCTGATCGATGAGCTCGGTCTCAGAGTCCAGGTACCCCAGATGAAATCCACACACCGAGCGGTTCCCTTGGATCAGGCTCAGGGTGTGAACGGAGAACTGCTGGTACCAGGTCTTGGCCACTGCAAACAGGTTCTTCTTCTGGCCCGCCAACATGTTAGCGGCACCTGCAAGCCCAAAGACAGATAGAAGAAACATGTCAAAAATGTCAGGTCAATAATTCACAGTGGGTTCCCTTGAGATTTTCCAACAGGGTTTTACAATAGGGATTTGTCATCTGTGATCAACATAATTTGATGATACTTTTATGCATATTAGGCAAGAAATTGGAATTAAGTTATTATATTTGGTAATAATAAAAGCAAATTGATAAAGTTTGAGGTGAGAGTCTGTGGAGTTGGTTTGCTGAAAACAAAACATGAGAGTATTGTCTTATATTATCAGTATGTGTTATGAGTTGTGTTGAATTAATTTAAAACACCCATTATAAAGAAATAAGCAGCAAAAATGTGTCATTTTGAACAAATTTTTGCACCACCCTATATACACTACTGCTATAAAAACATTTTCCATTACGAATGCTTTAAATTGATTAAGGGGGTCATTTTTTTTATTGATTTGATTTTTGAAACTCAAAAATTTCTTGCTTGTTTAAAAGCAACTTTAAATCCAAGTGTCTGAAATGACTTGAAAATTAAGTTGTTCATCACAATATTACTTAATGCTGGGATAAAATCCGAAACAAGTTTACATTATGACCCTTTAGCCCACCCACCGATTTGTGCATTGGTAGGAGCAAAGTAAATACGAGTGATGGAAACCCAGGATTACTCCAGCAACTAAATGATTGAGATGCCTTGGAGGATTACAAGACGTGCAGTGCCAACCAAGTTGTGCAACAACAATCTCTTCCTTGTCTGCCTTGTGATCCTAACACTGTCTACACCAGACACAACCAATGCTGCATCACACTGGAAGTCCATTTCTCCGGCACTTACGGAAAGTCAGCACATAGAATGAGGCAACAGTTTACTGCCGGGAAGTTGCAATGTCGCATCCAGTGCAGTTATACTCTAAACACAATGTAATGTGTTGTAATGTTTCATCACTCCACTTGTAGACACAAGAAGAGTGAGCTTGTTTGCTTCTGTGCCTTTTGTTATTTATTGTTTGACACCTCCTGGGTGTTTATACATTTTTAGAAACCTAAATGACACATTATTTTCAGATCAAAGAAGAGGCAATCTATTATTTCTAACATGCAAAATGGCTACCCAGACACAGCAATAGGGTGTTTACTACCAAATCTTGAATTTGGCATGCTTATCAAAACAAATGTTTTAAAATGACTCGTTTAAAAAAGCAGTCAATGACAGTACGTGCATGTGCATGTTACAAAACGTTTCTGTAACACTTGATTTTAAGTACCAATTCTCGCTATTATGTGGCTTTTTACCTGCCTATAATTTATGTCTGTTTATTACTTAAACTTATAAAGTCCGTACTGTGCATGATGTTATTCGACATCCCAATCCAATCCCCACTTTAAAGGTTCAGTGAAATTAAAATATCTTTTTTAATTTTAGTTTCAGTATGTTAGTTAAGGATATCTATTGACCTTATTCTTCAAGTATGAGTGAGCGCATCCATTGGAATCATTTTGGCTCGACACATCTGGTCTCATTCATTTCCATTGATTTTTAGACATTAAAAACAGATTGTTAAGTGAATTGATGTTGCAAACAGATACGTCCTTATTATATTCTTCTTTTATGTATAGTCATGAACACACTTGTTTGTAGAGCATGTAATTTGACCATTTATTATTCCTAGTCATTTCTCTGATTGGAATCGGAAGTTCTAAAACAATCGCAAAAAAGAGCACATTTCCACATTTACGAATAAGGTCAAAAGCTTGTGTGCAACAAAATAATGACAAAATTCGAGTTTAGAAGAAATAAAACTGATATAAACATCTAAAGCTTGCAGTTTTTCACTTCCGCCTGAATGGATCAATATTTTGTTTTGTGTTTTCACGTCACCTCAAACTTCAGTTTCTCATTAAATCTTGACCAATCAAATGCATGTCTATTTTCTGAAATAAACCACTTCTTTCAAGAAGCTTCTCATTTACTTTTCATTTGATGCACTTGAGCTTAACCACACACTGGCAGAGCTGTGATAAAACAAAACGCTATTGACTGTTTTATAAGAAAAGGGAGGGGCTACTCTATGTTCCACCCTCTCTTCATGTTTCAGTTGAGACTAAGTCAAACGTCAAACAAAAATGCTCATTTCAAAGCACTTGGCTGGACCTTTAACTATTATTAAGCAGCAAATTATGAGTTTAAAGTGTAAGTCATAGATAATGGTTTGTTAATAGCAGGAATTGTACCTTAAATCCATGTGAAATCAATTTACATTATTTTTCTAGTGCACATTGTTATTCTTTCGATAGACAATCAAAATGAAAACATGTGTTTTGGTAATCCTTAATCAAAATCTGACCATTTGCAGTTTGATGGCAAATTCTTAACCACGCCTCTTATACTCTCATGTCCAAAAAGAAAGCCCCGCCCCCTACCTAATATTCAGTTTCAGCTGGAAGTACATCAACATACAAAAATAAAATAAAAGTTCACGCAGACTTTAAAATGAAGTGTGACCAGTGTTTCATTTAAAGGTCACCTACTTTACCCCTTTTTCATGATGAGAGAGAGAGAGAGAGAGAGAGAGAGAGAGAGAGAGAGAGAGAGAGAGAGAGAGAGAGAGAGAGAGAGAGAGAGAGAGAGAGAGAGAGAGAGAGAGAGAGAGAATAAACGGAGGGGGGATTTGTTCCACCAGATTTGACAAATTTTGATGTGAGACAGTAGCTTTTGGGGGAATTTAAACAGAACATAATATAATAGTCTTTTGCAAAGTTACACAGACTGCCACTACTTGTAGGTTAGTATTTATTTATTTATCTATTTATTTTATAGGTAATTATTTTAACATTACTATGAATAACGTCATGTCTTGGTAATATTGATGTTCCACCATAAGGGCACTGAAGATTTGGGCCATATGCATTTAAGCATGTAAAATGTTTCAGAGTTATATTGTTCTCTAGAGTAAGATGGGTCTCTTGGAGACAGAAAGCCAGGGGATTATAAATGCAAGCAAGACGTTGTAATTCAGAAAAATTGGCTCTTATGCCACAACAATTCCACTGTGCTCCGACTACAAGTTTGTTTGTTTTTTGTCTTCTGACATTTCAATGTCTTTTGAGCTGCTGGTCTTCATCTCCTTATGCTCTTGGCTTGTTTTTTCTTTTTGAGGATTTGGTTTTATTGTCATTTTTACTTTTGGATGAGTGTTGTCCTGTAGATGAATGTTCTTTGTGATTTACTTGAGTTTGATGAAGCACAGTCTGACTTTGATGATCAACACACTTTGTATTTACTGGAGTTTGAGATTTTATTTCTTCAAAATTTTCATTTATCCATGTCAAGCCTGTCTGAAACACGACAGACTGTAGTTTTGGTTTCATCACAGCAGCAAAAGTCTTTTCCGATTTAAAGAACGGGGAATTCTCTACAAGTTTGCGAGCCTCCAAATAGCTCACCTTCTCAGTGCACTTGATTTTCTGGATCTCTTTTTCTTTAATCCAGGTAGGACAGTCTTTGGATGAGCTTGGATGTTCTCGTGCACAGTTGCAGCGCTTAGGTGTGTTTTTTTTTACATTGCTCACCATGTTTTTCTCCTCCATAGTTTACACAGGTAGGCCTGTTTTTGCAAGCAATCAATCCATGTCCAAACTTTTGGCAGTTGAAACACCTGAGTGGATTAGGTGTACAAATGTCAACATTGACACTCAAGTATCCAATTTTAATCTTTTCTGTAGGTAGAGGTCTACTAAAAGTTAGGATATAGGTTCCTGTTTTTATGAAACGATGTTCTCTCATGATTGTGATTCTTTCAACATGTATTATATCTTGAGGCATTAACTCTGTAGTAATATCAGTCTCTTTCATGTCTTCTAGCTCTCTGGTACGGATTACTCCTTTGCTATGATTTAAAGTTGGATTGTGAAAAGTTTTCATAGCAACACCAGCAAGCACATTTGCACATAGTAGGTTTTCTGCTTGGATCTTTTTGGAGCATTCAACAAGGATTTGTCCAGATCTTAGTTTTTTTAACATCTTTCACTGTTCCAGAAATCCCAGAGATGCCATTTTGAATAACAAAAGGATACAATTTAGAGAGTGGCATTTCAGATTGTAGAGATTCTAGAAGTATAAATCTCTGCCAGTTTTCACTTCTGGGGAGTAGACTGATGCCATTTCCAAAGTTACAATCCAAGTCCTGATCCGATAATTTTCTTTTGGGTTTCGTTTATTTGACATTTTAGTATGATTTCAGATTCATCACTCTTACTCCTCACCCACCTCGGAGCCCAACAAGTGGAAGCACAGAGCCGCGGATCTCCACCGGGTATACATCAAGGATATAAGAATGATCAACTCGAGCAGGCATATTTAAAAATATGCATTACTCAAATGACCCTCAGCCAAAGCCTTCTGGAAGTTTGCTAGATGTTTAAAAATGTTCAATAATCTAGGGCATTTCTTGACTAGCCGATTGATTGGACCGGGCCCTTCCAACCTCCCGTCTGAGGCCCCGTTTACACTAATGCTTTTTAGTTTGAAAACGGATATGTTTTTCTACGGTTACACCATCCGTCCACAATACGCTGGAGTTTTTTTCGAGCGCCGAAAATGGAGCGTTTTGGAAACGCTGAAGAGGCCGATTTTATTCTAAAACGCTGCTGCTCTATCTCAGTGTGGATGAGGGGAAAACGGAGACATCTGAAAATGGAGGCGGGGCTGCAGACATTCGCCTCTCTGATTGGGGCTTTTTCTCAATATTAAGTAGCCTAACACACAGTTAAAGTTCTGCATCCTCTACTTGTAAGTTCAGACTTGCCAAGTTTGATATGGAAAACAGACTCCCGAGAACATATGTACTGTATAACCTTATTCATTTTGATATTAACAACTTAACAGACAGCAGAAATGTTGAGGCATTGTGGTGCATATATGAGCGTCATCTTCACTGCATGTGTATTCATAACAAAACGAAGCCTAACATTACAGCCTCCTTTTATTTACATTGAAATTACGATACCCTCTCTTTTACTGAATATTAGTTTTAATAATCAATAATGGCCATTATAAAAGTATAATGTACAATAAGTTTATACAATATAGGAAAAAAGGCAAGCAATTACTCAATATACAGAATGTACGTGGTTAGATTAATTACTAATTTATCTTTGCGCTCAGCCAGAAGACGTTACCCGAGAACAAGTAATAGATTCAAAAGACCAAAGTAGGGGAATATGTTGTTAGATATAGACAACAAGATGAATTAAATATCACATTTAGCAAATATAGTAAGATTAGATCCAGCGGGAGATCCTTGATGAACACTCTCATCTGTGTTTTTGGGTCACGTGATGTGCGTTTTCAGTGTTTTGGTGTAGAGGGAGAGCTGTTCAGAAACGCTGGGTGAAACGCTAGAATCGTTTTCATTCTAAAACGCTGTTTTAAAACTAAAAGGCACTAGTGTAAATGGGGCCTAAGTGAAATAGGAGCCAAAGTACTGTGTTGGATCTGCAATAGTCTCTACAGTTAAATTTCAATTTTCAAATACCAGGATCTCTATTTCCACTGACACGGGTCACAACTCACGTCTGAAACAAGTTGTCCCATTTGTCGGCTCTTACAATCAGCAAGGAGGTGCTGGGGACCTATTCTACCTCGGGTCCCCACGGGGGTCAAGATTCAAGAGAAGTCTTTAATGTCTCCAGAATGTGTCTGTAAAGATTCAGCTCAAATCACCCATCAGATTTATTAGACCTTTCAGAACATTAGAATGTTCTTCTCTGAACACTATTTAGCTGTTTTTGTTGTCTGTGCCTTTAATGCTAGTTCTACCCACCCACCATTCTGAGTGTGCCTTAATCTCCGCTTGGGCTGTGTCAGATAAACAGTACAGTGACAGAGATAAAGGAAGGAGATCTCACGTATGTTTATGAGAAACACTACAGTAAGAACTTTTCCAATAATTACTTGATGTATTTGTTGTGGAGTTGTAATGATGAGTCACACACAATGTTGTTACAAAGTTCATGCACACTGCCTGGTTTAACTTTGCACTATTTTTGCGTGCAAATGTAACCGGATACACATTAATATCCACTACTGTATGGATATCCGTTATGTTAATATACAAAATAAACCCAATTTAACATCAGCAAACTGTATTTAGGCGTCTTCTTTTATAATTGTACTAAAATGCGGCTGTGGTGATAAAGACGGTAAAATAGCTGTAATTCATTACACACATGCACTGTTTTAAAAACATTCTTGATCACATTTGATGATGACTGATGATCACAGAGAGCTGAAAAGATCTTTTAATCCCGGTTGCTTTGCGGACGTCCTGTCTTGTAGATATGATTATATGCATTACTACTGAGGTATGTTAATACGCAGCAGTCAATCAATTCAGTGGGCAGGGAAACTGCACTCCTACCTTACATTGCCGTCAGCCTCAAAATGGGAGAAATTTGGATCCTTTTTAGCATCAGGAAATTTAAAAAGAGGCTTATTGTCTTTATATCACTCCAATATGACTGTGGACACACTATACCTACACACACCTCTGTCCAAACAGCTTACAAAAGAGGCTTTTCATCATAAGTGCCCTTTATAATAAATGCTGTTTAATGGTTTCCCCAAGAGTATTAATGTAGTAATATAATAATTCTGCTGCCAATGTATGATTACTTTTATAATCACGTAATCCATAAGTAACTGTAATCTGATTATGAGCCATGACATGATTACATAATGCTCAGTATAATAAGCAATGCAAAAGCCCCTTAATAACAAGCTCTTTCCTGTTTGCATCCCACTGTATTGTTGTCATTTTCTGTCTTGAACAATGTGCGCAAATCAAACCTAAAACAGCACACAAAATATCACAGTTCCCCCATCATACCACCCATCCCTACGTCCTAGCATGTAGAAAAATGCCTTTGTGTGTGTGAGCCGAGCATGATCCCCGAGCATGAATAGATATTTTTGTGTGAGATTTCTGCATGTAAAATGTGTGTGTGCGGTTGACCGAGGCTTGAATTACTGCTTAATGGCTCCCACAGTGAGCGTTCTTCATTTACAGAGGAATGACATGCCTCTCCAGCCCTCCTTCTCGCTCTCTTTTTCTCCGCTTTTTCCAACACTGCACTCTTTGACCCGTCTTCATTCGCTCACTGTCCGCACATCCTCTCACGTCGCTTCCCATGTCTGTCACTCCCTCGCTTGTCTTTGCGCGATTATCCACGTCCTCTTTCGTTTTCAAACCACATCGCCCTCTCTGTTCACTTCAAAGGTGGCTTATTAGCATGAAATAAGAACGCCACATATTGCGAAGACAAAGGATATCAGGCTAAATTACACTCTATAGTACCATTAGCGAGAGGGAAATGCGAGTATAAAGCGATGACAACCCTCTCTGTCCGTGTCCCTGCTTCACACACACACACACTGACACAAAGCGAGCTCAGAGTTGGCCTGTGATTTGGACCTGACCCAGTCTGCTACATTCGGACACTTTCTGGGTTCTGTGTCAAATAGAGGAGCCATTGTTCTGATAAAGCAGGATAGAGGAAGAGAGCGAGCCCGAGAAAGAGATGGAGGGACAAAGACAGTTGGGTGGGACTACAGGACACCATGTTGTTTAAGGGGTCTCGTTCCGGGTATTGTGTTTTATGAAGTTGATTTACTGTTGTACGTCACTGTCAAGCTATTCAAACGTGTCTGTTGGGATTTGGTCAATTTTAACCAATTCGGTTTTATGGACTGGACGCCAAGTCGAAACTAGTATTTGGTCAAAGTGACCTGAAAGTGAGTGTAGTGGGTTTAAAGTGTCCCTCACCGTAGCTGATGAGCTTTCCCATTGGTTTGAGCAGGTTGTAGCCTTTATGGGTGTCAGAGCCTCCCAGAGGATCCAAAACAATATCCAAGCCTAAAAAACAAGAAAAATACACATATTAACACAAAAATTTACTTTTTACATTTAATATGCTTATATGAACTATATAACGGCAATTAAGATTTTAGAGGCTACCTATTATGCCTCTTTTTACAAGATCTATAAAAAGTCTTCACATAATTGTCAAAACTTCAGCTAAAAATAACACACAAACAGTTTTTTATAACTCTTTTGAAACTGTACCTTTTAGGCTTTGTTCCAAATTATGCCATTTTGGTGACTGTCGCTTAAAATGCAAATGAGATTGTGCTCTGTTCAAAAGTGGGGCGGGACTACAAACGCAATTCAAAACAGGACTAACATTGTTTCTGGATTAAACCTAGGATGTCAGAAGATGTGGCTCAGAAGAAGGTAGTCTATGAAGGCTAGAGTGTTTCCTACGCTGGCTGAGAGAGCTTAGCGTGCTACAATTTAAGACACCTCCACTGTGCTGTGACTATTGCTCAGTAAAGTTGTAGGTGATTTTTGGAATGTGAGGTTTTTGTTTGTTTATTTTAATACCCAGATTCTGGTGTCTTTAGTATTTATTAGCCTAAATAACCATAACCTAAACAGCTGGGACCGGCACAGGTGTCAAATCCATTTCCTGGAAGGCCGCAGCTCTGCACAGTTTAGTTTCAACCCTAATTAGACACACCTCATCAAACTAATTGAGTCCTTTAGGCTTGTTTGAAACCTACAGGTAAGTGTGTTGAAGCAGGGTTGGAACTAAACTGTGCAGAGCTATGGCCCTTAAGCAACTGGATTTGACACCTGTGTGTCAAACATTTCTGTTGTGTTGTGAGAAAATGCAGTGTGTTTTCATTAAATGTTTGTATAATGAGAAAATGCAGCATGTTTCATTAATTTGTTTGTGTTGTGGGAAAATGCAGCATGTTTTTTAAAATGTGTTTACTTGTGATTATTTGCAGCATGTGTGCTGTCAAACTGATGTTTGACGTTTTTTATAATTGCATGTGTTTTTTTTTAATTGCAGCACATTAAACTCTCTGAGCCACTGTAGATTCCACATTTATAATGTCTCTAAATTGCTGTCAGTATCTTCAGCATGCGAAAACTCTATTGGTGTAGGCTGCTTCTCACTCAGGGTTGTTTATACTAATGAGGCAGAGATCATCAATAATGGGCAGGGCTTTCCCTCTCTGATGACAAACAAAATGATAATGTCAAGGTGTTTCTGCAGACTGTTTTTTTTTATCTCATTTTATTTTCATTCTTTTTTTTCACTGTTATTATAAAAAATATAAAGTTAATACATTTGTTACCATTAGAGGCTGGCTATATTTACATATTCTTGTCACACAACGGTGTTTAAATCCATCATAAAAGTGATTTCAGCAAAAGAGGTCCCGTTAAAAGGTTATGTAGAGGTGTGAGATATTTAACATCTTTGATAATATCATAATTTCAAAGAATGTGTGAGCTGACATGTTTCTATGCAAAAATACTAAATGTGTCACTTCCTCATAAACCAATGTTAAGTATCGAACAGAAAAATGTAATTTACTATATATTTTCTTATTATACATATATAAACATTTTATCCAACTCAGTTGTGTGCATGTGCCCATTTTAAAACATATTAACATCTTGACATTTCTATTTAGTAGGGGTGTAACAGATTAAGGTTTATCAGTGATCCATATGGATCACTACCCACAGTTCGGAACACCCGCAGATTAATAATTTGTTTTTTTACTGATCGATTAGTCCTAAATTTGTAATGATCACAGAGATGCCTCTTGCATCATTCAAATCACATGTATGACAGCATTTAGGCTTTCCTGTAAAATATAATGATGACGGAAGATGTTGTGGTGGGATATTCAGGATGTGGTGTATTTCATTAATGGCGTTTTCTGTCACTGCTTGAATAGCATGCATCAATGCATTCAATGTAAGCTGCATGATTAATCATTAAAAGTTAGGGATCTCAACACCCACGCAACAAATTATAATATATGGTGATTTTCATTTGTTTATTAATCTTACAAGATTTATTCTTTTGAATTAGTTATGAAGTTACAAACAGTAAAAATAACACTTAAGTACAGGGATAACAGTTTATAGTTTAGATAAGACCACTGATGTCTATGGCAAAGATTAAAATCACAGACATTTGCATTTTACTTGAATAAAAATTGAAAGTTGTAGGCAGCAATTACATTATTTTATCAATAGGTGGCGACAACCAGCCATCAAAAATATACCACTGAATAATTCTTCAAAAATGACACATCTAGCAATGAAACATGACCTTTGAGTAAATAACTGAATCATTTCTAGAAAATGAGACAAAAAAATATGGGTTGTAAAAATTATAATGTTGGATTTAGCGTTATCAGCAACAGTAGTAGTAGTAACAGCAAGTTTTTCGAAGTACTGAATATTTTACAATAAATTTTTATTCAGCTGATTATTTCTTCATTTTTAATACAAAGGGAGGTTTTAAGTTCTGTTTGTTGAAACCAAGTGTCTTGAAGTGCTATTTTTGTAATAAAACGGAAAGCAAATTACATTTGTATCCTCCCATTTTTGACTGATTCGAAAAATAATCCATGACTTAAAAAACCCAATGTGATCCGAACTGTAAGATTTATGATTCATTATACCACAGCCATTTAGCATTTTTTTTATGCAATAGTCCAGTATTCTCATTCAAATAGGTAGATGAAAACATTTGGAAAAGATGGAAACCATTTTTAATAAATCATTTGACTGAATCATTGAATGACTCACTAATCAAAACAAGAACTTGTTGCCACCTATTAGTGGTTTTGATGTCATAATTATCAATAACAGACTCAAAAACCAGCCAAAATAGTAGCACAAAAACACACTCAGAAAAATAGCTACCGATTACGATTATGACTTTTGCATGGTTATAAACTATTTTAAATAAAATACTGTTTTGTGTCACAAAAATAAAAAGCACAAATCTTGTCAACATTAATATTAAGAGATGTTTATGGAAACAGGATGATGTGAGGACTGGAGTAATGCATCTTCATTTATTGTATTTTTGACTAAATAAAAGTTGCCTTACAGATCATGAAGTCTTCCCCAATATATTTGCATTGTTTTCCTGTACGTGTTTATTTTGATACTTTAGCAATGCTTGTTCCCTATGCTGTTCTTTCCGCTGCTAGTTTGCATTACAAAACACTCTCCATCTCTTGAAACACTTCACTTTCCCTGCTACAGTAATACACATTTACATAAACACATTTAGCACTCACACTGTTTTTGTTGTTGTTGCTGCTGTTGTATTTGTCCAGAATCTGTATCTGAGAATTCATATGTCTTGATTTTACAAGTGCAAAGACTGCCGTTTATGGGTTAATTCTGCTCCTATGCTGACCGGAGTGGAATGTTGTGGATGTGATACTGTGTTTCCCAATTTCTAACATTGTTATGGTCAGGAGTACATCAAATAAAATGTTCGCACAGTGAAGACAGCTAAACAAAAAAAAAAAGAAAAAAAAGAAATTAATTTGTTGTGCTGGTTTCTGTGATAAGACTAAAAGTAAACAACATGTCATCTGACTGCGTAAGAGTTACAGCTGACTCAAAACCACAAACAAAAAACAACAAATTTTATGCATCAGAAACACAAATGCGAAGAGAAAAGTGGACTACAAAGTGATCCCCAAACATCTGTTAAAGACTTCTTGGGTCATACACTAGATTAATTATTATGCTTGATTTCCATTTTGTTTTGGATTGAGGTCCATGCACAGGGCTATTTGTGCACAAAGCAGTCAAAGCAGAAGAATTTTCATAGATTTATTTGTGAACATGCTGCATTTAAATTGTTGCCTAATAATAAACATGTGGCCTTAAGCTCATCAACCACAAATAAACTACTGTTCAAAAGCCTGGCTAAGGTCTTTATATTTTTGTGTGTGGGGGGAAAAAAAACAAACAAACATTTACGCTCATCTGTGTTTTAGTTTTAAAGAGAAAAAAATGTTGATTTGCTCATTCCTAATTATTCAGTATTAAAATATTAAAAACACATGGGCAACTTAATATTTACATTCAAAAAAATAATAAAAATGCATAGGAAAGAAAATGTAATAAGCAAAGCTATTAGTTACAGGGAAATGTAGCAAGCTAAGCTCAAAGCTACATGGCAAAAGTAGTTTAGCTACATAGCTACAATTAGTATTTTAAATATTTGAAAAGTATTTACATTAAACTACATAACTTTTTTCATGTAAGTGCACTTGAGCTCATTTGCAGAACAAACTGTAAATAAAGTTGACAGTTGCAGTCGACGTCATTCACACTCATTATAATCATGATCATCGATCATGGCTCATTATAATATATAATATAATAAAATATAATATATTATCATATTTATTATTACAGTGTACGGTCTCGGCTGTGTATTTAAATATGGCGGTTCCTTTGTTTTAATTCTCCTGGCTTGTGCACGCGATTGATGTTTCAATGTAAATAGCGTTCAGATGTGCGTCTACAGTAGCTCCACCTTTTGCTACCTTTTTTTGTGCAAGGTACCCTTTGCAAAGGGTAACCAAAAAAAGTGGTATCGTAAGGTTTGCTTTTTGGTACCTTTGACAGCGAAAACGGACATAAAAGCGTACTGACCCATATTGCAACATACCACTCAGCGAAAACGGTCCATAAGACATGTACTTCGAAGTATGGTCCTGCTTCAGAAATAAATCTACAGTCATCTTTCCATAAAGTTTTTTTTGCCAGCCCAATGATTGATTGGCGACGTCACCGCCTGGAGCGAGAGGTGGCATTAACTCAATAAAAAGTTTTTCAAATACGTTAAAGTAGGAGAATTCGCCAATCTCGATTTACTTTCATCGGCCTCACATCTTTGTGAATGGCGGTGGCGTCATTTACTAATCTAAGATTGGTAAATGTAGCTTGTGTATGCAACTGCGCTTCTTGCTTATGCCGAGTTCAGACTGCACAATTTTTAAAGTAGTGGCGTCATAGAAGTTTTCACACTGCATGACTTTACAATAGGAAAAATCGTCTACAATTTGCCTCAGTCTGCAAACTATGTTTCGCAGCCAAACACACGTAAGAAGTAACATGGAAACAACATCATGGTTTCCGCTACATTTATTCTTCCATGGCTGGGCGCCACGCCAAAATAGATCCCGCCACGGCTACACTGCTTTTCATTCAAAACATTCGGTCGTTTGTTTGTTTTTTTATATAGCGGGTGATAATCACAGCAAAACATATTAAAAGATGAGTGAATTATAACACCCCAAACTTTTCTGTAATCGTAGTAGTGCTGTGCAGCATTTTATTAACCCTTTAAGGTTACGTGCTGACTGACTGACTGGCTGATTGACAGGTGCGTGATGCGTGAGGCCAGCAAACACGATGTATAGCCGTTTTACTTCACGTCAGGATGCATTAATATCGCTCTGTAGGTCTATTGGAGACATTCATAAACATTCCTAGCAAATCTGATAAATGTTGGAGACATACTCGCTACATAAATGCACTAAATCGCACTTCAGCAACGTTTACTTGAGAGCGCACAAGAAGATCTGCACTTGAGCAGTGTATATTTGAGGGCGTCCAAAAAGTTTTGTGCACGAACAGAGGAAACTGGCATGCAAGCAAAAAGATTTGCACGCTCGTAGGCTATAACATAAATGCGATCTCGTCTTGTAATACTGCGCTCAAGACATTTGTCATTGAAATAACGGCATAGGTAGTTGGAAGATCTGTGTAAAAAAGGCCTGCCGCCACAGCTGGAAGAAATCCTAGAGGAAACACTAAACACTTGTTCTCCCCCAACCTTCCGCTGGCCTGCAGATAACCAAACTAGTGCATGCTGCCCTCTATTATTAGGTGTTGGTGATTTATCTGCGATTCTCTTAGATCGCCTCTTTGATAGTTTGCACTGTGTGATTGATGCTCTCGTGAATGAGCACTGATTTACCTGTGATTTCAAGCATCTGTCTGCGATTTCTCAAAACCTGTTGATGAGTTAAAATCAAGGCTAAAATCAAGCAGTCTGAACTCGGCATTAAAATATTAGCTTCGCTACTGAAAAGCCATTTGATTTAGTCACTACTGAAAAACGTAGTTAAGCTAGTGGCGTCAACACTGAATATAAAGTTACAACTGTTTTCACATCCAAACAGATAAAAAACAAAAGAAAAAATCTGTAAGCATTATTTGTAATTTCTGTATTTATTTACCTTTAGTTAACCAGGATATCTTGTTAAGATTTAAAAAAATACTTTACAAAAGACCTGGCCAAAGTAGTAACCATACAGTAATTTTTTTTAAACAAAAACAAAGAAAAACTATAATAATAATATAAAAAAATGCTTCAAATTTTAGAAACTGAGTCATTTAGTTTTTCTGTGCTCACCTTTAGGGCTTATTTTGCGGACCTCCTCCACGTAATCGCGCGTCCTGTAGTCGATAGGGTGAGTGACTCCACCCTGACTGATGACCTCATGCTTGCTGGCGGAGGCGGTGCCGAACACTGTGACATCATTCACCGTTTTACACAGCTGAGTGGCTGCGATGCCCACTCCACCTAGACAGGGAACAGAACAATTTAGGAAAGGAGAAGAGTTTATTTCCAGCACTTTCCATCTCAAAGCAAAAGCAGAACCATTAAAGCAAGGGTGTACAAGAGGACAGACTCAATGCAGACAAGATGAGCCTAAAGACGAACACACACCCACACATGAACAAACATTAGGACCATTGTAGCAATCCCATCATCCTCGTTTATCTTTCAAGCGGTTTCAAGGGCAAATAAGTTGAATGGATTTTCTGAAGTGTATCATCTCCTCTAATGGAGGAACAAGGACTTTTTTTTAGAAATAAACGGACGTGGATTTATGTACATCAAATAAATCCCTGTGAATTAAAGTTTTCCCACTAAAATCTGCCAAAAACTATCCATATTTGTATAGGAAAAAAACTCTTTTAACTATTTATAATCTGACCAATCAAATACTCTAGAATCTGAAGTGTCCTGCCACTACAATACACTATAACTGCTTTTACATTGCATGCTACCGTACAGTTTGGCACAGGTCGGCCCATTTCGGTTTGCATTTCCACTGCAGTTTATCACCACTTTAAAGGCACAGTATGTCATTTTGTCATATTCACAACAAACAAAGGCATACTTTGATGACGCCATGAGTAAGCGTGGATTAATAATACATGCGGTCTTCATTACATCTAAATGCTGATATATACTTCTGCATTGAGTGATCAGCATGACCCACAGTGCCTGCCTTGTGCATAGCAGTGGATTTATACTTCTGCGTGCTATTTGTATTGCCATCTGCATGCACATGATGCAGAAGTATAAATCAGCCTTAATGGGACTGCAGTAAAAATCATGCTTTGGCTTATCACACTAAAACCTGATTGTAGGAAGCCTTTGAAATGAAAACAAAACTGCTGAAGCAATTTCTGATTAGAAAAACAAACAGGAAATCGTGTTTGTGTGACGTCTTTTACATGGCATTGCTATAGTTAATATTGCTTCTTTCTCTGGATTTGAACATTCTTCGCAATATTTGGTCTAGTAATTCTTTGCTATTTTAGTTAAATTATAAATCTTAAATACTGTGCCTTTAAAATGGGTAAGATTTTATTGCTATAGTTGTGCTACCTCTATTTCTATTACACCAGCGCAAAATGGACCCTTTTTTACAAGACTGTCATGACACGTTTAGATTAGATTACATTAGATTCTAATCTAAACGTGTCATAACAGTTTAGCGGTCATCAGCATCCTAAATCCTTTAAAGATTAATATTTAGATTTTTTTTTTAAAACAAATGAACATTTATATGTATTTATGCATGCATTATATAATAGTTGCGTTAAATAATAATAATAATAATAATAATAATAATAATAATAATAATAATAATAAAAACTGTGCCAGGCTTTTGAAATGCAGAATGTATAGGCGGGACAGTAAATTTTACGCTGGTCTCTCTTCTGGTTGCCGTTTTCAGTCTCACACATTTTTCTTCCTTTTTCTAAAAGTCTTGATAACACCATTGTGGCATTTTTCTTTTAATATTTCAACAAACAGGATTGTAAAAAAAAATAATAATAAAATAAATTCTCTATCTGTCCCATTCATTTACAATTAGCATAATTGAGTATAGGCCATTTAGAAAATTAATATTTTTCTCCATTTCTCTGTGAATATAGGCAATGTATTTTGGTGCATTTAAACAAAACAGATTTATTAACAGATTTTAACACTAAGCTAAATTTAGCAAAAACAAATTACAACCTAAAAAATTTCAACAAATTTTTTTTTTTTGCTTCTCTTGATTTTTCCTCTTTTTTAAATTTTTATTTATATTTTTCTGTAACAAATTTGGGTGTACTAGTCTTTGAACCATTATCGCAAGTTATTTTGTCAGACAAGCTTCAGGTTTGGCTTCAGTACTGACTAATCTAATGTATATACACAAATACAGTATTGTATAGCCTCCTATTAACAATATGAATAAAAAAAAAATGATTTGTGAGGGGTGTACTTATATATGCTGAGAGCTGTATAGGGAATAAACATATTCATATAATGTAAATATGGTTTATGTTGGATTAATGAAGTTTGGTTTTACATTAATGTCTCTTGAAGTGCCAAAATGGCACATCCACTCACTTCTGTGTTCAGAGACAGCAAAGAGCAGATCATGTGCATGAATCGGCATGCACCACAAAATGCATTAGATCCATTTGAACAAAATACTGAACACTGCATTTTAAAGTAGTGAAATGTTTGGACAGACTATAATAAACTGTGGTAGTCATGAATCTAATGCACTTTACCTCAAAGAACCTAACTTGCAGAGCTGTGATGGAAACAAGAAGCTATTGGAGGTTTTCAAAAAGGGGGAGGGGCTACACTATTGCCCATCCTCTCTTTTAGTTTCAATAGTAACTCACATCAAACATGTGAATTTAAATGCATTTCAAAAGAGCTTTAACATTAAAAAGTGGTGGTTTATGAAAGTTTTAAAGAACCGTTTATGGTCTACATATTATGCTACCGTCACCAGTCATTTGAAAGCATAATATTTTTGGAAACAAGCTTTAACTTCAAAACTGGCTCCAGGACAGCAGGTCACCAATCATGATCTCTGCCTGAGGTCTAATGTCTTAAGGATGCCATTTAAATCAGCCATAGATCGTCAGTAGATCGTTTTTAATCTGCGCTTTTACTGTGTACATTTCTAAGAGAGAGGTAGAGCAGTGTCTTAAAAGGTCACTAGTGCATGAACCTATAAAGGGTAAAGCTTATCTAATGGCAAAGTTAATAGAGCGACCATACATACAGTGATACTCATGAAACGTGATCGAGTGCTTGGGGAATCACATTGTGGCAATTTGCATTTGCAAGCGCACACTTTTATTTAGCAGAAATAGCATTTTATAAATGGGACATATACTGTACACTCACCGGCCACTTTATTAGGTACACCCGTTCAACTGCTTGTTAACACAAATTTCTAATCAGCCAATCACATGGCTGCAACTGCAATTAGCCATGTGGACATAATCAAGATCTGCGAAACGCACAATACTTCCCACAAGTTTGAAATGTACTTGTGGTGGTGGCCGAATTGAAACACACCGTTTACGCAAATCACATAAATAGTCAACTACATGTGACAAACACTACATAATTTAATTTAACAATAATTTTATTTATTATATACTGTATCTTTCGGATAGGTTAAAGTTAAAAAAAAAAAAAAAAAAAAACGACATTCACAATTTCTCTTAATTTTTTTGCTATTCAGGAGCCATGTGCACCCACTGACTGGTAAAATCTGCTTTCTTTCAAAGTTCAAAGCAAACTTGAATGCCAAAGCATTTTACATATGTTTATAAAATAGCCCATGTAATATATTGACATCAAATTAATAAAATAATCAGCAAATGAGAAAAAAGATTACTGAAAAAGAAATAAAAACAGACAATTATTACAAGATTAAAATCTGTAAATTATTTAATTAAGGCAAATGCATTGATTTACCATTACAAATGTTGTACATATATTTAGCAGCCAGTTTAGACCAGTCATTTTGCCTTCATTGAGTATTTACTCAAATTTTTCGGAGTCGTTTAAATAAAAATATAATTATGTTTCTTTTGCGAAAGTAGGCTTAAAGTAAAAAGGTGATGCAAAAACGCATACGAGCTTTAGAAAGTAAAAGCAGAAGGTAAATTCATAAGAACATTTTAGGACATTTATAAATTTATTTAAATCCCAAAAATGTGCGTCTCTGTGGGTCTGCAGAGCACATGAGACTGTCTGTGTCAGTGTTGACAGGTCTTGTGCACGCAGAACTAGGTAAAGGAGAGAAGATTTTCCACTACTTAATCGATTGCTAATGTTTGGTTTTTGGGCGGATACAAGAAAACGTAAAGGATGTTAATAACAGTAAAAAATAAAAATAAATAAGGCTTCATTAAATATACTTGGGCGGCCGTTAATATACCTTTGGCAATATACATGTCTCTGCTAAACAGATGTTAATGCATCTAATGCTAATTACAGAAACATATATCATTCAAATGACTTTTCATGCAGGCTAGACTTTTCAACTCATTCCTGCTCTAGTCAAACGTCATTACACAAGGCAGGCTCCGCAATTACGGTCATTACAGGCTAAATGGAACATCTGTCAGACAGATACGTGCAAGACATCATTCAAAACTAAAGCATTTACATTTATTTGTGCTTAATACTCTCCAAACAACCAAAACACTGTTTCTCTGTACAGAATGAAATGCTATATTTTTCCTCTCCATTCACAGAAATAGGCTAACTACAGGTGCGTGAGAGGTCTCTGTTGTTAATGCTGACACTAACTATTAATTGATCAAACTAGAATGTTAAATTAATATTCAATGACAGTCAAAAATAAAATGAAACAAACAAAAATAAATAAATAAAAACATCCCAAAAGATCATCTGTGGCATTGCTATTGAATTTTGCATTAGCTCTGCTATATATGACTATTACATATTAGATTAGATAAGATTCAACCTTATTGTCAATACACATGTACAAGTACAAGGCAACAAAATGCAGTTTAGGTCTAACCAGAAGTGCAATAGCAGCAAGTGCAGGATGTAGGTGTATAGCTCTTAACACACTTTCACGTTTATTTTAGTACATTTTGGGTGGAGTGAACCTTAAATGTTTGTTTTCGACAACCAAATGCATTTAAACCGGTCCACTTTAATCTGAAATATGTCCCTGACCACCATCTGAAGTGGTTTCTAGTCATCAAACGTCATCTCAAATGCATTTCTGAGGGCATTTACTGTACACCTCCTGCCATTTTTCCAAATGAAAAGAAGAAACTGAAAGTGACCAAATATGAACAGCTCCAATGTACCAGCACAAAAATAATAATAAAAAAATTATATCAAACACTTTAATGATTATTTGATCAATAATATTCACTCAACTGAATTGCACCATATGGAGAGCTAGTAAATCAAAATCCAATCAGGCCAATCTGATGGTGAAT